AACACGGCGGCAGCCTGCAGAATGCAACTGCGTTTTCAGCGTGATGGCACCACACTCCGGACAAGACAATGGTCCGAGGAGCCTAAAGGGGCGTCGACGGAAATCTGTTATCCGTCCGGGTGAGAGGTCAGCAATAGGTCCAATAGGGAAGGTGTATGATCCTTCCACATCTGGAATCCGCGTAGGCAAAGTAATCAGTTGTGTCAGACCATATGCCAAGGCAAAATCATGGACAGATCTCCCCGCATGATCGGTCAAACGTGAACCAAGCCATTCGGCGTGATGGGTGTTAAAGTCGCCGAGGATTACGATCTCTGCGGAGGGGATCTGCCGTAGCACCGAATCTGTAGCCATTTGGACGTGGTCGAAGAGTCTGTCTGTTTCAGCATTACCGCTATGGGACCTATGGAGGCTACGGGTGCCTCCATAGGTCCTATGGACGCGCGGATGGTCGTCGCTGTCTCCGCGTAGTCAAAGGATGGACAGGTCCGAACCTTCAAGACTGCCGAGGCGTCGAGAACAGATGTCCTCTCTGACGTAAACGAAAACTCCAGCCCGAGGCACAAAGGAGTATTCCAGTTTGTACCCCGGGTAGGAGAGATACGAGACATCAGCCGGAAAGGACACCTGCGTCTCGGCCAGAAAGAGTAGAGCCGGCCTCTCCGTCTCCATATGGTAGTGGACGGCGTTTTTCATTCTTTCAATTTAATAGTAGGTAATAATTTAATTAGATAATAGTAAAATATATGAAAATTCAGATTTTGGTGGTGTTTAGTTTAATTACTAATACATAATAATGAACTGATTAACATTGGTTTGCCTGCGAATAGTGCAAAACTCACATTAAGCTTATACTTTATTTTAAGATATTTTGTATATGTCGTGGCCAGATCGTAGAATAGATTTTATCACGAATATTCGATCATTACATGAAATTGTGTCATTTCGTGAAATTTAACATTGTCTTTTGACCATATCACGATAAGGCCTGACGAAATCGATGGATAGACATTGAAGAAATTAACAACTAAACCCAATATTGCGTTTTCATAATATTCTATTTATATCGTAAATTAGTTACACTATTCACCGCTTGGAGAAACAGAATTTTTAACAGACTCCTTATAACTCTATGCCACATCGCGAACATTTAAATAATACATATATAAATGTTCGCGGCTTTGAGGTAGCCCAAGGATCACCCCAGCCGCATATCAATCTATTGTCGCTGATGTTACCAGATGGTGCTTTCGTATGATATTACGGTGAAACGAGCGATGACTTCGTAGATTCAATCGTAGATTGAGGATAAATTTGACAAACGTTGACATTTATACGATACTAGCGATTCACCCCTACTTCGCACGGGTGATTTATGGATATCGGTAACAGCACCACCTAGCAGTTATAAAATCTAAGCCAACTTGTAACTCCAAACCATACAGGAGCCCACTTAAATACACGCAAAAAATTTCATCAAAATCGGTGAGTTTTAGCGAGACTATCAGAGAACAATTGATGTTTATATTTATAGATTACTTTAATATGCATGTTTTATATATATAAACCTTCCTCTTGAATCATTCTGTCTATTGATGAAAATCTCATCAAAATTCGTTGCGTAGTTTAAAAGATCTAAGCGTACAGACGGTGGGAAGCGACTTTGCTTTATACTATGGGGAGATGGTTAGTAATAATAGGCTATCATGAAATTATTGCGATATTTGAAGTGGTGCAGCACTTCATGGATAATATGATCAATTCTATGACCTTTACATAACTTGAGAGTTTTGGCTACAAACTAATAGGAGTACTAAATTAGTTTTGGCTTTCATAGTTTTAATCTAAAATTAGCGCCATCTATTTACTGCTATATAAACGAATAATAACTAACTGATAATATTAAATATAATGCTACTGAATACTTATTCCAGCAGGCTCAAAAACTTAAAATATCCAGCCACTATCGGGACGATTTATCATAATTGCCACGTTTAACAAAATAACTAACTAAACTGTTATACTGGATACTGTGTATACAAAACTGTAATTAAAAAAGAAACTTTTTAGTAACTATATACTTATTGGGTGTATTTCGGCATTGCAATAATTTCACTAACTTCCTTTGGTCTTAAGTTATCCGATGTAAGTTTTTATCTCTATTTGATATATTAGTAAAAATATAAGCAACTATTTTATAGTGCCAATCAATATTCAATAGACCAATGATATATAAATTATAAACCAAATATCGCAAATAAACACTCTGCCGTACATTAACAGTAGACAATGATTTTCGACATTATTTCGTATTGTCAGAATTAAATTACCTTAATTTATGAATACATTTAGAGTAAAAAGTAAATAATGTAACTTCGAATCAAAGATAATTTCCTCGGAAGTCACGACCGATATAAAACGTGACAGGGGTTGCCAGACGTATGTCATTAATGCAATTCTAAAAAAAACTACGTCTAATAATCTCTAAGAATTCAAAAGATATCACTTGACTAACAAACGTGACAACGAGGCGGCTCTACAAGTGATCCAAGTTTGTTGATTTTGGTATGAAGATTGGGAGCAGGAATAAAGATGTTCCTCAACGGAAGCCCACGAGAGCGAAGACGCGGGTAAAAGCTAGTATTTTATAAACATCGTAGTGATAATCTTAATGTGACAAGCACACTCCCCACGAGATTAATTATATGTTTATTTTTTTAAAGTCAACGCTTAAATGTTACAAATTAGGTTTATAATTGAACACGCGAGCACAACGGCACTTCTTACAAGACTAGTTTATATTAGCAACATATAAACAATAAAAGTGTAACGAGACTACTTTACCCTGCAGCGGTCGCAGCTTATAAAATAACGTATGTGGTCGCGTGGATTACGTATGTAGCCGAATTTAAAATAAGAAAAAAGCATTACAATATCAATTAAAATGTATTTTTTGTTTTATTATAAATATGAAACAGGGTAACATTTAGTCAACATTTAATCATATTTAATAACCAAACACCATTTATACGTCCTTTTTCTAATTAAAATTATAATATTTAAAAAAATCTTTTACATATTATTATATGAAAATATCACATTAAATTCAAAGCTAGATCACAAATCAGTTTACATATTTTTTTTTTCTGATCATTTGGTCCCAGAAATATTCAAATTTGAGATTATTTTACAGTGGTTTAATATTATAATCCACACGACAACTGTAAGGTCAGTGTTTAATTGGAAATGGTGATGATGTGTGATGTTTAGATCGATATCGATAATTTTTCATTATTATTCATTGAAGAAGTGTATTTTCTTAATTGATGTTTATTTTTTACTAACTACAATTATTGTTTTTAAGTTCATAATGTATATTGGTGAAACTTTTAAATGGCCTTCTAGATGTTATTCACTATTTTTTGTTTTCGTTTTTTTGTTTCTGTTTTGTATTTACCGTTTATGTTAGCTGTAAGTTTTTCAAAAAGAAAAAATAAAAGAAAATATTTAGTATAGGGCAGTTTTCCAATGTTACTTTTAAATTAGTTCTAGGACCTGATTGTTTTATTTACCAAAGATGTCTCTGTCAGCGAATCTAGTACTTCTTGCAAACTTGTAACTTTTTTCTTTGAATACCGTTTTAAAATAGACGATGTTGTCACTAAGATCATCCCCAATAAAAAAATTTAAATTTTATTCGTAATATTAATCCTTTATATTTATTGTACTAATTAATAAGTTGTGACACTTTGTTTTTGTTTCACAAGAGCTTTTTATTGTAATAATATAAATGTCGATTTTAAAATCTTTTTTTTTTGTGACGAAGGCTTGTTACTTAAAACATAACTTCCTCCACTTTTTGTTTTTGGTACTTGGAGCTTATTTATTTCGGGTCGGTCTAAGCTGACCAACTAAAAAGATAATTTTAATTGTTTGAGTGCATTTTGCTAATAATTGTTAGTTTTTCTTTTTTCTTAGGGAAACTATCGATATAAAATATTGATATGGTAACATCGCAATTAATTTGTCGGTCTTACACTCATAACTTTATCTATGTTGATGCATTTAACTCTGTCTACGCATTTAACCTACATGTGTTTGTAAAATGTAATAGTGTTGGAGATTTAGGTTTGTGTGTGCCATAACACAAAACTTTATTGTGTAGGTGTGCAGCACTGTCTATGTAGTGTTTCCTCCCCCGCACCAAAAGTGACAGAATTTTTCGTTCGTTGCATTAGGCGCATTACTCGTCCATTGGTTTGATTGGTCTAAGATGTATCCAGCTCCAGCCACGACTCCATAAATTTTGAAACATCATCTGATCTCAGTGAATTTTACGGCGAATTAAACAAAAATAGGAATTTGATTAAAGTGAAGGTGTTTTGTTATTTTATTTAATATTTCAGTTAAGGCATACGGTTATTATAAATTTATTATATTATATTTTTAATATTCAATATTTATAAATATAATAAATAATTTCTTTCTAATACCAAACACGGTAATCAACAAGTCTGTGATGGCAACACTAGCACTGCGACACTGACAGAACAGACCAGACATAAGACGACTGACAACAACAAAAAAATGTCAGGGATGTATTGGTCAGGGAGCAGTCATCGATCTCTTTAATTTGGAATTTGTTTCTGTTATTACGCTATCACATATTCATGTGTTTTTGAATATTTTCGGTGATTGTTACTTTGCAGTTTTATTTAAATATTGCAGTTTCGTTTCGTTGAATTCTGAGAAGTAGATCTTATATATTTAGTATAATTGTTTTATTTTCTTTGGAATTTCCCATTTATTGGACATAAACGGCTGTGACTAAATAAATTGTGTGCATACACTATAGCGAATTAGTAGCAATTGTTATTACTGTTAGAAAGGCAAAGATAACAATTATATTGTTGCATCTTCGGCGCCATGTTGTCATTAATTTAATTCAACGCGAATCCTGTTATGGGTGTACTTTTGTGGTGTGAAATCAGTGTGTGAGCATGTTGGAGGATGTCCCAGTGCACGGAAGTCGGAGCAATCTTAGGAGCCCAAAGGTCGCGACGCATCAGCGAAACCTTAGCTTGGATTTCAGGTATACTTGTTTAATTTTCTTGGTTTATTTTCTTTTGGGTACAAGTTAAATATATTTTATTTAAATTACTTGCTTTGTTTAGTTTTTGTAAATAAATATTGATTAAAATAATAATAAGTAATCATCATCATTACAGAATTTATCATAGTTCACTGCCGCACATAGGTCTGCCCCATAGATCCATCATAGGGAGGAAATTGAAAAAGAGAAAACAAAGAGGCGATAGTTGTCACACTTTGCACAGGGATTGGCTTCTGTACTTCTTTATTACTATTACTAAGTTATCAGGTAGATACCGCTGCCATCAACTGTTTCTTATAAAGTTGAAGGAATGATAGGAAGCCATAGATTCTCTTATGGCACCTCTTCACAGCTATAAAATAATAACATATCACACACAACATGATTTGTGAAAATCAAAGAGATTTAAATATATATACTATAGAGCGGACATTGGGAACATTTGCATACAAAAACTGTGAGCATGCGCGTGTGTTAAGCCCTCTAGCGAAAAATAGCAATACTACGCTGAATATTTGTTTGAAAAACATTTTAGCTATTTTTCCCATTAGGTGACACTTCTAAATATAATGTAAAAATCGGTTTTAGGCAAGTCGTCAATTGCTAACATACTATAAATAAATAGTGACGTTACTAGATAATGGAGGGCACTTACTAATCATGACTTACTATATACCTTAATGCACAACTGGGCATATTTTTTTTTAAATATTTTTTAAATTGATGAAACGAATACGTCTTCACTTTTCGGTGATGTCACTTAGACTAAATAACAAAAATCGGAGATATATCCTATAGGACAAAAGTTACAGACGACAATTTTGTTGCTGATGTCGGGTCTATTACTACCAGTGGCGAAGCTTCCATAAAAGCCGAAAAGCCGGGCTTGCCTTATTAAAACTGAATCAATCAATAATATCAAGTAATAAAATAACTCATAAACTGTTTCAAATTATTTCAATTTTCCCGCGCACTCCACTGTTCGACACATGTTGACCGATGACCTCGTATTGCCTTAGCGATATGTTTATACAAAGGTACTCTGTGGCGATACTACTGCTGTCATAAAGTGAACACACACAGAACATATAGCTGATGTGAAGAATCGACGCTCCGGGATGTCTGCAGTCTGTGAACACGTACAGGATCGCCCCCGTCATTGCATCAGATTTGATAGATCGCAAATCCTCGCTAAAGAACACCGATTCCTTCCAAGGATGATTCGCGAGGCTATTGAAATCAAAAAACATCCTAATTTCAATAGAGAAGATGGCTGGGTGCTACCAGCTGCTTACTTGGGATCTGCCAAGCATACAACTGCAAGACTTCAAGATACCATAAGTTCATACTGCATAGATCGGAACAAAAGTTAAATTTTAATCTATGGTAACTGCGGTTAACTATGACATATGGACGTTGAACATCTCAGTCCCGCCCGTGACCATGAGTGCTGTAAAGCGTTCGAAACGTCGGGTATTTAAAAAGTTAAATATATGTGAAATTCCGTAAAAACTAGTATTATTTCAATTGTTAATTGTTGTTGGCGACGCGCCTATAAAAATGTTTCAGTTTATTAAATCAACCGATGACGTTGCTATGAAAAAAGGGGCAGTCTCGAGCAACGACGCTCTGATAAGAGAATGCTTAGTTAAATCTTTAAGAAATGTCGAATTAATGATATGAAGGTCTTGGGTTCGACTCCCAGGCCGGACTAGTTTGTTTGTTTTCCTAAGTAATATCGCTTAATAAATTCGTAAGGAATTTAAGATATAAATTATGTTACCGGATTTGTTCCCCGGTTGAAATCATCTTTCAAATGATGTAAATTCATAAGAATATTAAAGTGAAGTTAAAGATCGGATTTGTTCCCCGGTCGAGATAATCACTCTGTGCATAGGCAGAATTAATGGATATTAATTGCATAAATGTTGTTTTGTATAAGTTTGATACGTTTTGTACGAAAACAAATGCCTATTTGTTATGATTGATTAATGAGAACATTCATTTATATTGTTATCTGATTAAAGATAGTTTCCTACAGTTTGAAAATTGTATAAAAGCATTTAATTTGCCTAATATGGTCAAAATTGGTGAATTTCAGAATTTCATTTTTTCTGATAGCCGAGAGCCGTGCAAAAGTTAGTTGTTCAAATAGTGTGAGTTCATAGACGCACGCTAGGCCACGCCCTTAGGAGGCCGAATATGTAAAAATTTAAAATGTTTGTAATTCAGTGATTTATGTAAAAATTACTTGTAAAATATTTCAGGTTAATTGTACGTGCTAAAAAGGTAAATTCTGTGTTATTTTCATGTGAAAATTCCTGTGTATAAGTGAAATAATGATAGTTTTGTATAAGAAATTTAAAAGTGTTTTAAATAGTGAAATAAATAGAAAAAATGTAAATTAAACTATTGTATTGGTTAGCTTATGTATAAATTCAAGTGAGAAACATTGTTTTAACTTTCTGTGTTAAATATTTAAGAAATTTCGATTTCGAACTTGTGAGTAAAATAGGCAGTTTTCGTTTAATAAATAAAAGGTTTTTTATGATATGAGGATATGACGTATATCATGGTGTAGATATTGTTTTGTACTACCTATATTGATAAATTGTATTTGTATATGATTTGAATAAATAAAGATATTGAGTGAAACGTGAGAGAGTAATAGTACAAATTCATGTAATTGAGTTGCGCAAGCGCGCAGATGGCGCGGCTCACTTTCGCGTATAGCTCTGGGGTAGCTTAGTGAACGGGTTTTATTGCAATTCGTTCGGGAAGTTCGGGGAAAAAGTTCGGGAAATATTCAAGGAAATAGTTCGGAAATAAATAAGAAAATCCGAGGAAAAGTTCAAGAAAAGTGAAAAACCAGCAGTATAGGGAAAAGTGATTACTCTCTCACGGAACGGTTTGAAGATAATTGCTGTTTCATTCCCAAGATCCTTTAAGTTATACAGTCCACATCGAAGAATTAAGGCGTCGGGACCGGGACGACTTCGGAAGACCCGTAATCCCCGTCTGAACCTACTTGCTGAAAAGGAAGAGGTTATCGCCCTAGTGTGTTACTCCGTTGCGGAGAACACATACGTTGTTCCCGAACCCAACGTAGGCGTGATAGGAGGCCGGATCGAGAGAAGCCTCGATTCCTGTTTCTTAGTACCCGATCCGCTAGGTCCTTTTCAATTGGTCCTTTTCAGGATCAAGAGGGACGTCCGACCTGTGTTCCTTTTCAATTGGACCTTCGGAGCCGGATTGAAGACCACCCGAACCCCGCCAGCTGGATCAAGGAACCAGCTGTGGACTGCTGGTTGTGGAAGAAGAAGACCTTCGGAAGCCGAGTGAAGATCAGCAACCGAAGGAAGCCAGAGGTTTGAGCTGAAGCAATAGGACCAAAGGCCTGAAGACCAGGACGGCAGCACTGAAGGGCTGGACCTGGAACTACCGGAAGAAAGAAAACCGGGATTGCAGCTTGGGGCGTGTGCTCGCATGGGGCACATATCGCAGCCGGGCGCAGGTGTCTTGTGAAGGCACTCATCGTGGCCAAGCAGGGCTTGGCATTTTTCCTGTCGGGCAAGCGTGCTCGGCATTTCCTGTCAGACGATCGTGTCTGGCATTTCCTGTCGGACGACCGTGTCCGGCATTTCCCGTCGGGTCATCAGGGTGCAAAAGGCATCCACCGCTGCTGCTGCCGGGCGAGGGTGCGCGTGGGCACCTGACTGCATCGCGGCCGGAGGAGGGCGCTTGGACGAGGCGTCACCGGCAACTGGGCGGCGAGCACAGCACACATCCCGACCACCTAACCGTGCCAAACGGTTGGGCTCTGGCATAACACCTTCGGGTGGAGCAGTTCTCTCGAGCGAGACTGCGCTTGCACTACCGCTCGACTGTTTCGTCATATTCCTTGGCGGGACAGTTCCTAAACCTTTCCTCCATTCCATTCCTGCACGACTCCATCCCTGGACGGCTCACCTCGGTAGGCCCCGTTCAGGATTGATAGGGCTGATAGGGCTGTTAGGGTGGTAGTAGGGTTGTAGGGTTGGGAGATAAAGGGGGGGAGGGGTAGTGGTGTTAGGTTGGGGTGTAGAAGGGTTGTAGGTAAGGGGTTGTAGGGACCGTAGGGACTGTAGGGACAGTTAGGGACCGTAGGCCAACAATCACCTTCCTGCAAGATGAAGAAGGCACAAGACCAGACAGGGAGAAGCGAAGGGAGCAGGACAAGGACAGGGCTCTCAAGAAAAGCTAAAGAAGCGGAATCATCTGGAGCGACCACAGCTACTGCGTCAAATGGAGCAACTCCTCCAAGTGGGGCCACCACAGACACGTCCACATGCACGTGGGACTCAGGGACGTCCATGGCAACGACAAGCAACAGGACGGACACCAGTGGTACGCAGGCCAGCACCGCACAACAATCCGTTATATCCAGGAGTGAAACGGTGGTCGAAAAAAGTAGGTCAAAGGACCGAAGAAGCGGCATCGTCAAGGACAGTAATCGGGCACACTAGTGATAAAGGGTCACAGAGAGGTAGTAGGTCATCGCGATCGGCGAGGCTGAAAGCCGAATTAGAGGCGCGGATTAAATTCGAACGCTCAGAGCTCGAACGAGCACAGGCAGCTGCTGCCTTAGCCAAGTCTCAATGGGAGTTGGCACGACTCAACCGAGAAGAGGAAATCGACTCGAGTGAGGATGATGAAGAGCGGAATACTCAGGTGGAACCTTTCGTAAGGAGTTGGGTTCAGCAAACAATAATGAGCGCGCCGGTTAGTGTAGCACAACCCGATATTACTGATAAGGAAGCGTGTAAAGGATCACGCCGCAAAGGGGCGGAGGTCGAGCGCAACCTAGGAAATGCACAGAAAACACACGCGAGTGAGGTGTCAGTATTGACCGAAGCGATTGTGAGTGCAATAAAAATAGCTGGTAAAGATAAATCTTCCCAGCTTCATTTCCTCCAGGAATTACCGGTGTTCGATGGAGA